CGATGATGACGACATGTAATCACTGAGATTATTTTGCTACATCCGGAGGAGCGACTACGTGACGTGATTTGTAGGAAAATAGAATCCTCCGCAGTCCAGGGAAACCTCCGGAAGTCGGGAGCTTTGGTTGTCGCGGGTTCATCTAAGCTCATTAGAATAATAAAATAATCATCTATCTCCCGGATTCCCTTTATACAGCACGCGGAGCAGCGGCAAGCGCAATAAAAGTCGGCGGCATAGAGAGAGTTTATTGTAGCGGCGAGCGCTGCGTCTATATACAGATGGAGAGGAGACGTTATTGCCGGGTGATGGATACAGACGGCTGACAGGAAGCCGCCATTCTAAGTCTGTGAATGTCGCGAACGCGGATCTTGAGGATGAATGAGAAAATATTTACAACAAATGTGAAACAGAACAGCGCTCTCTGTACAGACTACTCCACAAGTGCGCCGCAAAGGTGCCGAAGCTGCACTGATCACCAGGGGGAGCCAACGTCACACAGCGATCACCAGAGGGCGCCAACGTCACCCAGTGATCACCAGAGGGCGCCAACGTCACACGGTGATCACCAGAGGGCGCCAACGTCACACGGCGATCACCAGAGGGCGCCAACGTCACACAATGATCACCAGGGGGCGCCAACGTCACACGGTGATCACCAGAGGGCGCCAACGTCACACAATGATCACCAGGGGGCGCCAACGTCACACAGTGATCACCAGAGGGCGCCAACGTCACACAATGATCACCAGGGGGCGCCAACAACACACAGTGATCACCAGGGGGCGCCAACGTCACACAGTGATCACCAGATGGCGTCAACGTCACACAGCGATCACCAGGGGGCGCTGTCATGTCACACTTACTCTATAAGTGGTTCTGGAATGCTCGAGAAGACTTGTTCAAGTTATGGCATTAGTGGGTCATGGCGGGAACCGACATCACAGACACCGCTTCTTAGTGGTCATGGTGGGGCAGCATGGGGCCCCGTCTTCTTATTACGAGGGTAGATAGCAGATTATCCGCAGGGTCCAGGCAGTGCTCTCCGACATCAGCATCGGTCACAACCATGTGTAAGAAACGTTCCTTGGTGAAGTCTCTGGAGATCAGCCGCTCTGTGGAACCTCTGCTGGGTCTCGGTGTGGGATTGGTCCGATGTGGTCCATGACGGAGCAGTTACTCAGAAGTACGGAACTTCCGTCAGCTTGTACCAGCCGACTGTCTCTTGGTTCAAGTTAAAATCTTTCAGTGGAAGCGTCACTCCCCCGAGGAAGAAATTCTCCCGTAAAGACTCGGCACTGAGAACGCTGAGCTGGAGCTCCCTCTGCCGCAAAGTCTCCTTACTGTATCCACTATACACCAACTGCGAAGAGAAACACGGGGTGAGCAATGAGGGCAGAGAGAATGCAGGGGGTGGGGGAGGAGACAGTTCATCATCGTCATCAATAACCCCCATCAGCACCACCCCCTCCTTCCTCTTACCATACGTCCATCATCATCAATACCACCCTATCCTTCCTCTTCCCATACGTCCACCATCATCAATACCACCCCCTCCTTCCTCTTACCATACGTCCATCATCATCAATACTACCCCCTCCTTCCTCTTCCCATATGTCCACCATCATCAATACTACCCCCTCCTTCCTCTTCCCATATTTCCACCATCATCAATACCACCCTATCCTTCCTCTTCCCATACGTCCACCATCATCAATACCACCCTATGCCTCCTCTTCCCATATGTCCATCATAATCAATACCACCCTATCCTTCCTCTTCCCATATGTCCACCATCATCAATAGCACCCTATCCTTCCTCTTCCCATATGTCCACCATCATCAATACAACCCTATCCTTCCTCTTCCCATATGTCCATCATCATCAATACCACCCTATCCTTCCTCTTCCCATATGTCCACCATCATCAATACCACCCTATCCTTCCTCTTCCCATATGTCCACCATCATCAATACCACCCTATCCTTCCTCTTCCCATATGTCCACCATCATCAATACCACCCTATCCTTCCTCTTCCCATATGTCCACCATCATCAATACCACCCTATCCTTCCTCTTCCCATATGTCCACCATCATCAATACCACCCTATCCTTCCTCTTCCCATATGTCCACCATCATCAATACCACCCTATCCTTCCTCTTCCCATATGTCCACCATCATCAATACCACCCTATCCTTCCTCTTCCCATATGTCCACCATCATCAATACCACCCTATCCTTCCTCTTCCCATATGTCCACCATCATCAATACCACCCTATCCTTCCTCTTCCCATATGTCCACCATCATCAATACCACCCTATCCTTCCTCTTCCCATATGTCCACCATCATCAATACCACCCTATCCTTCCTCTTCCCATATGTCCACCATCATCAATACCACCCTATCCTTCCTCTTCCCATATGTCCACCATCATCAATACCACCCTATCCTTCCTCTTCCCATATGTCCACCATCATCAATACCACCCTATCCTTCCTCTTCCCATATGTCCATCATCATCAATACCACCCTATCCTTCCTCTTCCCATATGTCCACCATCATCAATACCACCCTATCCTTCCTCTTCCCATATGTCCACCATCATCAATACCACCCTATCCTTCCTCTTCCCATATGTCCATCATCATCAATACCACCCTATCCTTCCTCTTCCCATATGTCCACCATCATCAATACCACCCTATCCTTCCTCTTCCCATATGTCCATCATCATCAATACCACCCTATCCTTCCTCTTCCCATATGTCCATCATCATCAATACCACCCTATCCCTCCTCTTCCCATATGTCCATCATCATCAATACCACCCTATCCCTCCTCTTCCCATATGTCCACCATCATCAATACCACCCTATCCTTCCTCTTCCCATACGTCCATCATCATCAATACCACCCTATCCTTCCTCTTCCCATACGTCCACCATCATCAATACCACCCTATCCTTCCTCTTCCCATATGATCATCATCAATACCACCCTATCCTTCCTCTTCCCATACGTCCACCATCATCAATACCACCCTATCCTTCCTCTTCCCATACGTCCACCATCATCAATACAACCCTATCCTTCCTCTTCCCATATGTTCATCATCAATACCACCCTATCCTACCTCTTCCCATACGTCCACCATCATCAATACTACCCTATCCTTCCTCTTCCCATACGTCCATCATCATCAATACCACCCCCTCCTTCCTCTTATCATATGTCCATCATAATCAATACCACCCTATCCTTCCTCTTCCCATATGTCCACCATCATTAATACCACCCCCTCCTTCCTCTTCCCATATGTCCATCATAATCAATACCACCCTATCCTTCCTCTTCCCATATGTCCACCATCATCAATACCACCCTATCCTTCCTCTTCCCATACGTCCACCATCATCAATACCACCCCCTCCTTCCTCTTCCCATATGTCCATCATCATCAATACCACCCTATCCTTCCTCTTCCCATATGTCCACCATCATCAATACCACCCCCTCCTTCCTCTTCCCATACGTCCACCATCATCATCATCAATACTACCCTATCCTTCCTCTTCCCATGTGTCCATCATCATCAATACTTCCTCCTTAGTCCTTCGTTGGGAATAACTCACCATTTCATTGAACGTGGGGTTGCTGGTCTTTCTAGCAATCTTTGTTTTGCGTTTAGATGTTTTGTGCGGGTCGGGGAGCAGATAGGTCTTCACATAAGGGTTGTGGTCTGTGCTGTCTTCTACCACCTGCCATGGATAATAGAAAATTAGGCCTAGGATTTAAGGGGGGAGGGGTGGGGGAGAGGAACGGGGATAATGTGAAGACAGATCTCTGGTGGAAGACAGGGGACAGTTGAGGACTCACCAGGTCTTTAATGTGCATCACCATTATGAAGAGCGTCCCGTTCCGATAAGAAATGGACAATTTCATCTCCCCTTCAATCTTCCCAGATGTCGGACTCAGCGGAGGATGTCCTGGAATGGAAAGAGAGATCTATAAATGCAGATCCTCCACCGTGACACGTACAGAGGTGACCACACACAATGCCTTCCTACCAATATCTCGGACAGTGACGTCACAGCCGTCCGCCCTCTCATCTCGTGGCAGTGGATGGAAGAAGGTGTAGACCAGGTCACACTATAACAAAGGGGAAAGACCGTCATGGAGTGCAGAGTAAAATACAGGATGGAAGAGACAAAGCACACAATGC